AATTCTTGTTTTCAGACAAGGCTTTATGCAGTTTGATTGGCCTGAAACTTCTAAGCGGAGCTGGATATTATGAGATTTCCTCTGCTTCGAGCTTCCAAGTGCTGTGATTACAGAATGGGAAGCTGTTTCTTTCTTATTTTTATTTTTAATTTTATGTGTTTGAGTGTTATCCCTGTCCCTCCCTCCCTCCCTCCCTTCCTTATTATTCATGGAATTCTTGTTTTCAGACAAGGCTTTATGCAGTTTGATTGGCCTGAAACTTCTAAGCGGAGCTGGATATTATGAGATTTCCTCTGCTTCGAGCTTCCAAGTGCTGTGATTACAGAATGGGAAGCTGTTTCTTTCTTATTTTTATTTTTAATTTTATGTGTTTGAGTATTATCCCTGCATGTGTGTAAGTGCACCTGTGTTGTGCAGTGCCCACAGAGGAAAGAAGATGGCTCTGGATTCCCTGGAATTGGAGTTATGGTCAGTTGTTAGCTGCCATGTGGGTGCTGGGATTTGAACTCATGTCTTCTACAAGAACAGCCAGTGCTCTTAACCTCTGAGCCATCTCTCCAGTCCCAAGAAACTGTTTCTTTATAGATTTCCAGGAGACTGTGATTTGTTTCATTTTCTTTTCATTTTAGTTTTTGGTACTGAGTGTGGAACCCATAGCCACATCCAGCAGAGCAAACAATGACTGAAAAGCTCATGTGCTGCCCGTAGGCAAACATTTAAGAACATTCTTTTTCCTAACACTAGGGATCAGACTCAGTGTTAAATGGGCTCTGCCAATGAACCAGGACTCCAGCACTGCTTTTTTCTCTTGGGTTTGTTGTTGTTGTTTTGAACTTGAATTAATTATCATTAGTATTATTTGGTCTTTTTCAGACAGGGTCTTCCTGTAGCCCCAGCTGGCCTGGAACTTGCTATGTAGACCATGCTGGCCTCGAACTCACAGAACTCACAGAGATCTGCCTTCCTCCACCTCCCGAGTCCTGGGATTAAAGGCCGTGCCTCCACACCCGGCTATTATATTTCTTTTTTGTGTATGAGTGTTATGCCTGCATGTATGTAAGTTCACCCATGTCAGGCAATGACCTCGTCTCACTTTTGCTCTTGCCCATTTCCTTTCATTCTCTGGGTTGGGTGGGCAGGTGACTCTCCTGCCCTGGCCCTTCTCTGCACATTCCTCGGTAGGAGACTCCATCTTCACCCGGGTCGCTTGGCTTTCCTCCACCCTGTGCAGCTCCGGGACTTTTCTCTGCTCTCTGCAGCCCTCACCCTGGCAGCTGTTCTCCCTACGTCCCTGCTCTGACTTTTCAGTCAAGGTTTATTAAAAATGTTTGGGTCTTTGTTCAAGCTTTATCTACAGGTCACACTAACTAAAAATACCAGATTGGTGTAACTACCATTTTGGGGTGTTTACTAACCATATTAAAGGCCTATGCTAATCTGTTCAGAGGAACTGAAAGGGACAAGTTTTGGTTCCTTGTCCTCCAAGGTCAACCATGTTCCAGGAGACTATGGATCATCTCAAAATGCCTCCAAAGATTCCTAGAGAATCTCCTGACTGAACAGCCCACATGACAGCCTGAGCTGCTTCCAGAGACCAAATTAGGATATGTTGCCCAAGCTGCTACTGGTGACAAAATTAAGACTATGTCCCTGATCCATGCCACCATAGGACTCCCTTTTCCAATGGACCCTGAACTACCCTCTCCCTATGCTGACCCCTTCAGCTTGATGAAGATAAGAGAGAAATGACACCTCCCTTCCTTTCTTTCTATGTCTTAAGGGTAAGGAATGAAGGGAAATCAGCATGACAAATGATTGAGTAAACTGATCGCCTGCCCATCCTGCTTTCCACCCCAGGAGGGAGGTACAGGTACACCTAGTTCATAACACACAGCTTCTCACCTGTACTAGCTGATTCCCCTGCAGAAGACATTACCCCCTTGTGAAGACATCTGGTTCTTCTGTCAGAACTCCTCATCCCCACTCTCCAGTGTAATGATTCTGGCTGCTTTGTTCATGTCTCATGGTCATAATGGTCTATGAGAACCCAGTCTGTATGGTGTGTTTACACATTTGTTCCCCTTTGGTTCCCATGATCCTCTTTCACACACACCCCCCGCCCATCACACACCTAAGCACTATGACCTAGCAGGTGTGCTTTGGAAATATTTATGAAATTCACATTATATGATCTGGTACAGTTGTACAGAGGGATATGCAAGTAACGTCCAACCCAGAACCAAACATAGGATGCCATTATTGATGCTTACAAAACTAATCACAACATGTACATATCTTATTATCTCTTACAAAACTAATAACGTGCTTGTATCAGTAGGCAAGGCCCATTGCAAGTGCATCCATGGAATGTAGAACACAGTGAAGGCTTGATGCCAATCTTTGCACCCAAATTGCATATTAATAATTATAAACAGATGGTCAGAAATTGTATACAATGGGCAATCTCAAGAGATTACTGCCTAAAACCAGGTTAGTGAACACAGTGGTTATTGGAGGCTCGACATATTTTTGACACTCCAGTGGGGTGGAGAGACAGTATTTTTCTAGAACTTTTAGCCTGGTCTTGAACTTGAGATATTTCTGCCTTAGTCAGATGGCACGTATGGGATCCATCCTGATGGACTGCTTAGATATAACATATCATTAAACACATGTATTAGTGTCCAGTGGTTATTGGACTCCAGAATGTAATATTTCAAGTAAAAACATTCCCAGAACTTTGGAGAGAGCCGGACCTTATGCTTCAGTTTCAGGTTCATCAATACCTGCCTCAACCTAGAAGAGATATGGAAGAAATTATCTTCATCAAACTCATGCCAGGCACCTTGCTCAAAACTGGAAGGCAGGGGATACATCGTTTCGCTTAACAGGCTCAGCCTGTCTGTGTGGCACAGCAGATTCTCCAGTACAGACATGGACATATGGTTCCCATAGCAACTGAATGTGGTGAGATGGGAGCAGCCGTCTAGGGCAGGTAGGATGCAATTAATGTGGGAGTCATTCATCTTGCAAAGCTCTAAGTTCAGGGTCTCAAGAGTGCCTGCCACCTTCTCTAGCAGAGCTCGGAGGGGCTGCGGACTGAAGTCCGCCATGTCGATGTTGCTCAGAGTCAGATGCTTCAGCTGATCCGTGCTTGGACACTCAGAAAGATGCTTCAAGTCTGACTCGGTAAGTGGGCTGGACTTCAACCAGAGGGTCTGCAAGGGAGTGTGACTCCTGAGGAGGAAGCAGAGGGATTTCTGGTGAATGGCAGTTCTGATGGGAAATCAACTCAGGGTAGGACATAACTTGGTCCATGGTCATCCTACCTTCATGAATGTCACCCCCAAGGATGCTGCATGATGTAAGTTCATCACTCTACCTCCCTTTTTCTAGGCTGAGACCTGGCAGCATCACTGTGAGACTGCCTCAGTGTTGACCTCTAGAGTTCCTTCCCTTACTCTGAGAACCACAGTGCTGAGGAACCACAGACAGAAGTCCACCATAAATATCCAGGAAGGACTAGCATCCATCCCTATCCCTGAGAAACTCCCTCAGCACAGACCGTCATGTTCCCAGTCTTCACCCTGCCCCTCATCCTCAATCCATCACCAACTCATCTACTGCCTGGTCTTTTACACTTGGGAATTAGAGGCAGGCTGCTGTACATAGCTGCTGTGCAAGAGCTCACCTGGGAACCATGCAAGTTTGAGTCCTCCCCTCCCACAGTGCCCTCTTCTCTCCCTGTTCCCCTCCCTAGCATAGACAGGACTCCTAAGGGGGAAATGGCAAACTGCCCTCACCAGGTCTCATCTCAAAGCTGCATACCCCACCTGGGGGCCCTTTCCTGCTGTGCCCTCTGCTTTTACATGGGCAGTTGTGCATAGTGTATGGCCTGTCTTATCTCTGCACAGTGGAGCAGACCGTGCACTTCCCCGTGTCCCTCACTTTCCCATTGCCTACACCTGACCCACAGCAGACTCCAGCTAGATCTGCTGGAACCCAGGATGACTTAGCTCTTTTCCAGTGCAGCTCTCTCCCCACTCACCTGAGGATCTTGTGCAGCTGTCCTTTAAGGAAGAAGACTTCATCTATGTAAATCTCCCGCAGATTGTCCAGCTTCTGTAACTGAGCTGCATACACACGGGAGTACCACTTATTTCGCCAAAGTGATATATATCTGTATGTACTCATATACCTAAATGAAAACTTTTGAAGACTGGTCATCCTGCCCAGGTAGGGAGCAAATGTTTTCAGGGTGTTTCGATACCAAAAACTGTCCACCTCCAGCTCCTCGATGCTGTCAAGGCGCACGACACTCAGGAATTTCTCTATTTTGTATGTGGAATCTGACAAAATCTGCAGCCTCCTGCAGCACAGCTGGACAACCTGTTTCCTCATCTTTACCCAGTGCAAGAGGTAGGCTTGGAAATGGTTAAGCGGTCCACGTTCCTGGGGAATGCAAAGGTCTGCAAATATCTTCAAGGGCCTTGTTCCCATCCCAGAATCAGGGCTGTCTGATTGCACCTCACTGGGGAGCTCTGAGCAGGTGCGGGCTATGCGTCCACACCCCATCTTCCAGATGTTCTCATCCCCCTTCTGCAGATTGAGTACTTGCAGTTTCCACTCTCTGTGGGAAAAAACAAATTCGACTCGAATTATATGAAGGACCCCAACTCAGAAATGAGCTGGAATCCAGCTCTGGATGCCAGCTGCTCCCCATTTTCTGCTGTCTTACTTTACTTATTCACTTATAAAAAAAAGTCCCTTTATGGAGTCCACTTTGGTCCTGAACGCCAACTTCTCCTGCCTCCACCTCTAGAGAGTGCTGTGATTACAGACCTGGGTCAGCACACCCTGCTTTCTGTTGTCTTTTACTCTACTTCCTTCCCCTTGAAACCCACTCTTATCCTCCTTCTGATGAGTGGGAGGAGGCAGGGAAAGGCCCCTAAGGCTGTATCTTCCTCTATCCTCAGCAGTCTCCCATGTGTGGATGCACTGTCCTGGATGGTTTGGCGATAACCCAGACCTTCTAACCTCTTCACTAACACCATCCAAAAGCTTTAGTCCACCTTCTGTCCTCTCTATGATCTCAGCTCACCCTTCCTTGGACTCCTGGACCTGTTCTCCAGGCTCCCTGGCTCTCCCTTACCTGGGACGATCCTTCATGGCAAGCAGCATATCATGCCCATCTAGGATGGCTTGCAAGGTTTCCAGATGGGGTGTCTTCATCAGTGACCCCAAGGGCAGGGAAGGGAATGGCCAGGCCTGTACCATTGACCTCAACTCATGCCTGTGTCCCCCTTTGAAAGCCTCCACAAAGACTGGTAGGAAGAAGTCCATGGGCAGGTCCTGCAGGGAGGAGGGGTCCAAGGCCTCACTCCTCACCAGGCTCTGACTTGCCAGCTCCAGGAGTGTGGGTGGGGCCTGCAAACTCATGCTGAGACCTTTGCAGGGAACTTTTCCTGAGGGAGTACATAGAAAGACAGCCTTTCAGCCAGGGTGAGAAACTCCTTTTCACTCATCCAAGGACCCAATCATACCACAAGTCCCTGCTCTGTCAATAATGGAGACCTCAGTTTACCCTGCTGAACTCTGAAGTTGGCAGCTACAAAGAATAGCAGCCTCAAGAGGAGCCTCCTACGAACACCCACAGGGGCTCCAGGTCCCCACTGTCCCATCTGATTCCTGCCACTGCTCCTCCAAACCCCACTGGGAGTGGGCACCCAGGACCTGAGCGGAAAAGGACCTGGACTTGTCTCCATGCCCTCAAAGGAAGCAGCGGAAATGAGCTCCGCGCTCCCCACATTCCCTGTGCTGCTGAAATCCTGGTTGGGACAGTCCAAGCAGAATCTGAAAGGGACGCCACCGGTTTCCTTTTAACAACTTGAGTAGTAAGTGCTGGACGTGGTGGCACAAGACTTTAAACCCAGCTCTCCAGAAGCAGAGGCAGGTAGATTTCTGTGACTTTGAGACCAGCCTCATCTGCACAGTAAGGTTTTGGTTAATTTAGTCTACTGTATACAGAAAATAACAACCACAACGACTCAGGAGGTGTGTGGGTACACTTGCAATCCCAGCACTCAGAAGGTGGAGGCAGAAGGATCTAGATTTCACCTTCAGTCGAAGCACTGAAAAGCAAAAAACAAGAGGCAAGAAAACACAGCAGAGTTTGGAGGCTGCAATCCCAGCACAGGTGATGGAGAGGCAGGTAGATAGTGACTTTGATGCCAATGTAGACTCAGCAGTAAGACTGCCTCAGTAAGACTGCCTGGGAGAAGGAGGGTCCATCTCTTTAAGGGTGAATCTCTGGGTAGATTAACCAGGCTCTAGTGAACGCACACACACTGAAGTATATTTGGAGACACAAATTTGACTCAATTGGCCTTAAATGTGTATTTCATGCTGGGCGTGCTGGCAGACGCAGGCAGACCTCTTATCTGCATAGTGAATTTCAGACCAGCTGGGGCTATGGAGAGATCCTGTCTCAAAAAGACTAGAAAAATAAAAAATAATAAACAAAAAACAAATAAATTAAGTAATAATAATAAATATATATATATATATCATAGATTAAAAGAAAGTGGGTAGGGGTGGTAAGGGATATGCAGACAGGGATGCAGTTCAAAAATATATTGTGTGAGGCCAGGCATGATGGCACATGCCTTTAGTCTCAGTACTTGGGAAGCAGAGGTAGGTGGATCTCTATGAGTTCAGAGCCTGCCTGGTCTATTCAGTGAGTTACAGGCCAGCTGGGGCTACAGGGAGACCCTGTCTCAAAAAGACAAAAAAAAATTGTCTAAAATTGACAAAAAATCATCTAATAATCTTTTTCGAAAATGTAAAATGGTTGTTCTGTGGTTGACAACAATTGCTGTTCCTGCAGGGGACCTGGGCTCAGTTCCGGGGGCTTCCACGGTGGTAACTTAGCTCAGCTGCAGCTGCAGGGGATCCTGTGCACTTGTTTGGCTTCCTCGGGGATGGATGGTGTACATACAGAACATGTGCATCACACATGTGCATGCAAAACTCTGATACTCTTAAAATAAAATAAAATATATTTTTCAATCTAGAATAAAGCAGGGTTTGGCTAATCCTGGCTCTAATCCCAGCATGTTGGAGACTGAGGCAAGAGCAGTTTTGACATTGTCAAGGCAAGCCGAGTTCCACAGACTTTTCAAGCCAGGGTGAGCTACAGAGTGAGAATCTGCCTCAAAAAAACAAAATGGAGCAATGGAGTTGGGCATGATAACTTACATCTGTCATCCTGGCATTCAGGAGGCCGAGGAAGGGAACTCAGTCTCTTCATACCTGTTTGTGCTACACAAGTAGTTCAAACTCGGCTTGAGCAATTTATCAAGAATCTCTCTTCACTTAAAAGGGAAAGAGAAGGGAGCAGGTATAGCTTAGCTTTATGTGACTGAATAGAATGTGGTAGGCCCTAAATTCAACAATCAGTATTACAGAAATAAACAAAAGTAAGAAAATTTTAACTAGACATTTTTCCAGATTCTAGAAAGTGCTGCTCAGATGGAAACTCTGACTTAAGAGTCCATTCAGGATGAGACCCCATGGATGGCTGTTACACTTGAAGTGATCGCTTTCTCCTAGGATAAGAAATACCTAATAACTAGGACCCACCATTGAGGAACGCTGAAAAAAATGTTTCCTGGATGCCCAGGACACTGGATTGGGTCAAGAGGACCACCACACATGTAAATAAGTAGAAAATAAAAGCTGGGTATGGGAACTCACTGCCTTATCCCACCACTCAGGAGGTTGAAGCCAAGCTCAGCTACAGAGAGAGACTGTGCCCAACAGGTAAATTAAACCACAAACCAATCCAGCCAGCCAAACAAACCACACATCAATAATAAAAGTTTACAAAAAACGTTGAAGGTGGGCATTTCCATGAGTAGGTGTGACTTACCTGTCCCAGATGTGCCAGGCAGGGCGGGCGGGCTGGCTGGCTGGCTGGCTGGCTGGCTGGCTTGCAGGAGCTCTAGAAAGTGACTCTGCGTTCTCCTCCTAAGTTTCTCTTGGCCTTTCTACCCAGCGCTCCCCTTTTAACTCCCCTTTATACCACCAGCATCCAATCAGAAAGCAGGATCTGATATGATTCCTGAATCTCCGCCCACTTTATCATGATTGAGTTTCAGCTTTATCCCATTTGATGGAATTATGTAGGTTTCTGGAAAGGAAGACACAGTGACGGGGTGGATGTCAAGGCCGCACTCACAGGGCCTGTGCTTGAACATCACTCAGGAGTGACTGTCAGGGTCCTGAGTGCAGGGGGTGGCGGGGAATCTAGGATGCTGCCGACATTAGAAAAGACAGCAACTGGATGTGTCCTGGTAAAGGGACCTTAGACTATCAAATCAGGAATAGCCAAGCCAAAGACATCACGCCTTTAATCCCAGCACTTGGGAGGCAGTAGAAGTAGATTTGAGAGATCAAGGCCAGCTGGGGCTCCAGGGAGACCAAGAAAAATAACCTGAATAAAGCAGGGTGTGGTGGGTCAGAGGACAGGACGCAAATGTGAAGCCAGCCTGGTGAGCATGCTGGGTTCCAGGCTAAGCGGGGCTAGTTAGTTAAAACAAATATAGAACAAAAATTAAAAACATGAATACATTCTAGATCTGAAGGTATTGAGCAAGGTGTTAGGAAACAGAAGTTCCAGCTACAGGAAGCTGAGGCAGGAGGATGTCAATTTGCCAGGAATGAAGCAGCTTCCTGAGAAATGTAGAAACTTTGTCTCAAAATATAAAACCAAAAATGAAGGATTATCAAATGAAAGACAGGCTAACAATAAATCTTTATGGAGACAGTGGTCTAAGCTGTGCCTGTCGGTGCCTGCCTTTAATCCCAGCACCCACGAAAACAGAGGCAAGTTGATCTCTGAAATCAATACCACCCTGGTCAATATAGAAAGTTCCAGGCCAACTAGGCCTACAGTTGAGCCTGTCATGTCAAAATTTCTCTAACACTGTCCGCTCTCCCGACTGCCCTTTGCTTGTTGGTCTCATTCCCCACGTCAGAGACTGCACCATCCTCTTCCCAAACCCGTCCTTGGTTTTGTGGTATCCTGGTCGACTACACTATTTGTTACTAAAATTCCTTCTGTGAGGGACAAGTGACGTCTGACTCCTCCTAAGGCCTCACTTGGTCCATACAACAAGCCGAGGACTAATTTTGCCAAAATGCAATCTGGGAAACCAGTGATTTCAGTGGGCTCACTTACACAGAAATGGGCAAGGGTTTACATACAGGGGTGTGGGTACTCCTCTTCTAAAGCTGCATTTTAAAGTCTACATCCAGGCTTGGATTATGACTTCCTCATAACCACGAAAAATGGAAAAAGAACCTCCCTGAGACTTCCTCAGTTTCTATGACCTTAACCCTCTCCCTCTTGCAACTGAGGCCAACGGATTGGTTGGAAGGTGTTGCTGACTTCCCTGCCCCTGTTTTCTTGCTTAGAGTAAGTCAACAAGCTTAGCTGTGATGATCCTGGGCAGCAAGTGTAACCAAGCTTGAGATGATGGCTTCTGTCCGTGCTCTGCCTGGGAAAGGACAGTCCCCTGCAACACCCACCATTCAGGGTTGTCCTGCGCTATGTAGTCACTGTGAGGTCAGCCTGCGCTACACAAGAATGGTCTAAAGAACTATAAACAAAACAAATTAAGAATTTTTGTAAAATGTATTTAACAAAACTGTGCTGTAAAGTGTCAGAGATCCAGGCCTTCTGTGGAAAGAGGTCTAGGTCAAACTCAGATGCTGTCTCCCTTTCTGAACAGGATACGTACTCGGAATAGAGACCATAGCAGATGGAGCCCTATCATGGGAAAGTGGAAATGGCTTGGAAGACAGTCTTTCCAACCAAGCTCAGTTCTGGAGACTGGACTGGAGCAAGGTCATGGGGAACAGGAAGTTCAGAGACTCACAGATTAGCTCCAGGTTGACTTCTATCTCTTCTTAGAATGAGTATTTTTTCAATTTTGTTTCTAAAATTTTTATATGTGTATGTTTCTGGGTGTAAGTATGTGCATTTGAGTGCAGTAGCCCTCAGAGGCTACAAGAGGGTGTTGGGCCCCTGGAGCTGGAGTAAGTTGTGATGTGGGTAGTCTGATGTGGGTTCTGGAAATTGAACTTGAGTCCTCAGGTAGAGCAGGGAGTGCTCTTAACTACTGAGCCATCATCTTCCTAGGCCTACTGTTTTCATTTGGATCTTCAAGGCTCCCGGTTTAGTGAAATACTATACCAGGGATCACATGGGACCTAAACATTTTGCATATCTCCGTGAGGACCTCAGAGAAGAGCCCCCACCTCCAGGCAGAATGACAGGAAGAGGTGTGCATGACCAATGATGGCGCCTTGGATGGGTTAGAGCAACAGATCCCTCCCACCTGGTGACAGCAGGAGCCCTAGGCTGGGGCAGTGGCGCTGCCTTCGGAGGACACAGAGGCCACTGCCGATCACTGAGGATCTGATGCCCGTTGGACTTGCTGTAGGGGACACACTGCACAGAGGCTGTTACTTAAGCTCACGGTGCTGACCTTGATGCCCGTGTGCTTCCTTCTCCAGCTCAGCCTCCCAGGTACAATCTCCTGAGGAGAAAGTGCAGTCCCCGCCACCCCCGAAACTCCAATTTCTTCTTGGCTGCCGCTCCTCTGTATTTTTACCTGGTTTGTGAGTTTCATTTAATTTTCCTACTTTGCTTGATCTTTCACCCTTCCAGGAAATGAAACTACAAGCAATGAATCAGAAACTGAGAAGGCCGCAGGCTCATGAGGCCACTCAGATATCTCAGCTCTTGTCCCTCTTGAGCCCATCCTTGAGTCTTCAGTGTGCACTGTCCCTATGAAAGCTCACTAATGTTGCTAGAATTCTCTCCAGACAGTTTCATGTGTCCCTGGTTGCTCTGGAATTTGCTTATGATAGAGATGCATCTGGATCATCCTCAGCTGCCTACTGAGTTCTAGGCTGCCCTGAATGAGGCCTCAGTTACATGACACCATATATGATAAAAATAAACCAAAGTAAATAAAAGCTTCTTATAGCAAAGGACATAATCAACAGAGAGGAGGGAATCTGTGGAATGTGGGGATTTAGCTCAGAGGATAGGGTACTTGGACAAATGCATGGAGCCCAACCCTTGGGAGGTACAGGCAGGATGATCAGAAATTCAAGTCCATCCTTGGCTATACATGATTTGAGGCCAGGCTACATGTGACCCTGTCACAACCACCCCTCTCTGCACCCTTAGGGAAAAAAAAACCAGGATCTGAGATTCAAAAAGAATGGAAAATCATGGAGTTATAATATATGATACTGATTAAAACAACCTTCAAAGCCGGGCGTGGTGGCACATGCCTTTAATCCCAGCATTGGTGGGGGCGGGGGGGCAGAGGCAAGTGGATCTCTGTGAGTTTGAGACCAGCCTGGTCTACATAGGGGCTACAAGTCAGCTGGGGCTACAGGGAGACCCTGTCTCAAAAATTCAAAAAAGAAAAAGGTCCTTCAAATGTAGAATACTGAAATAATAATGAATTTCGAGCTCAAAACTAATAGATATCTGAACTAATAGATGTAATGCCCTTCAAGATGGGAAAGATTCTCCCGCTGTGTAGGGACTAGAAGAGCATGTTACCTGCGCCCTGTCTGTCTTCCTCTTTCTGCTGCCCTCCCTGTCTTGTCCAGATCAGCAGCACAGAATTATTCCAGCTACTTTCTTCATCCCTCAAGGTCACAGTCAATCTAGGACAGACCCCGCCGCAGGGTGTGCATTTACATGTACACGTTCCCCTTTAATCCCGTGATCCACAACCTTGTCTATGCTCCCACCCTGTAACACACATAAGCACTCTATTAGACCCAGCTGGTGTCCTTAGGAAACATTTATTATGCACTTCACGTCTTATGATCTGGTGTACAGTCCAGTGCTGCAGAGAGACCTGCAAGTAAAGCCCAGTGCAGACACCTCCAGATCATGAGTGATGGTGCCGTTATTGATGTTACAAACAGAAGAGGGCTGAATACAGCATGTATAGAGCTCATTCTCTCCTTTATTTCCCATTAGAACAGGGTTCTAGGATGGAATGAGGAAGTCTGAGGTTGTTTACATTCTTGCAATTCTGGTATTTGGCAGACTGAGGCAGAGGCTTGGTCAACTCAAGACCAGCCTGAGATGTAGAGAAAACCTCCCTGAATCACCACTTAAAATGAATAAATAAGAGATACACTAAGAGGCAAGGGAAAAATAGGTCAGGCCCCTTGTCTTGCATGCCAGTGTCACAGAACAAAGAGTGATAATAAGACAGACCTGCTACTGCAAGCCTGTAATCCCAGATATTCAGGAGGCTGAGGCAGAAGGATCTGAACTTGAAGGCTATCTTGAATAACTTGATGAGATCCAAATTAAATAGCAAGTGCTACTAGGATTACAGCTCAGTGGTAGGTCACTGGCTAGTTTGAGGGGTACCCTGGGCTACATGAAACCGAGTCTAAAGAAAGGAGGAATGTGAGGCCTCAGAGATGGCTCAGTGGGCAAGACCTGTTTGTAGTAAATCTGATGACCTGAGTTGGCTCATCAGAACCCACATGGTGTATGGAAATTAGTGAATGCTTGATCCATGGCACCCCAGATTGCATATGAATAGTTATAAACCGATGGTCCCTGATTGTATGCAGCATACAGCCACAAGACGTTTCTACCTAAAATCAAATTAGTGAGTCCTGGAGAACAGAATTCAGTGGCAATTCCATTTATTTCTGACCCTCCCTTGGAGGGAAGGGTGGAGAAAATATTTCTCTATACACTGTCAACTGACTTTGAACTTGAGCTATTTCTTCTGAGTCAGATGGCAGATAAGGGACCCATCCTAACGGACTCTTAAGCATTGACAGATGAGTAAATTCATATACTAGTTTCCATTGGCCATCCGAATCCAGAATATAATATTGCAAGTAAAAACCACTCCAGAACTTTGGAGAGAGCCGGACCTTATGTTTTAGCCCTAGGTCCGTCACTACCTGTCTCAACTTAGAAGAGACATTAAGAAATTTCTCTTCATCAAACACATTCCAGTCTCCTTCCTCAAAACTGGAAGGCACAGGATACAACACTTGGCTTAACTGACTGAGCCTGGCAGTGTGGCACATCAGGTTCTCCAGCACAGACATGGACATGTGGTTCCCAGAGCAATTGAGCTTGGTGAGGCGGGAGCAGCTGTCCAGGACAGGTAGGATGCAATTAATGTGGGAGTCATTCATCTTGCAAAGCTCTAAGTTCAGGGTCTCAAGAGTGCCTGCCACCTTCTCTAGCAGAGCTCGGAGGGGCTGCGGACTGAAGTCTGCCATGTCGATGTTGCTCAGAGTCAGATGCTTCAGCTGATCCGTGCTTGGACACTCAGAAAGATGCTTCAAGTCTGACTCGGTAAGTGGGCTAGACTTCAAGCAGAGGGTCTGCAAGGGAGTGTGACTCCTGGTGAGAGACCAGAGGGATTTCTGGTGAATGGCAGTAATGATGGAGCACACTGGGAAACCACCTCAGGGTAGGCCATATCCTTGTAACCCAAGCTCATCCTGTCCCCATGAAGATCACTACCCAGGATGCTGCATGATGGAGACTATTCACTCTAGTTACATTATTCTAGGCTGAGACCTGTCAACATCACTGTGAGACTGACTCAGTCTCCAGCTCTAGAGCTCCTTTTCTTACTGTCAGAAAACCACAGTGCTGCACAGAGGTCCACTGGAGATACCAGGAAGGACTATCGTGCAGTCCTGTCCCTGAGAAGCTCCCTCAGCACAGACCCTATCTTGTTCCCAGTCTTTGCCCCAGCCCCTTAACTTCAACCTAATAGTCAGCAGTTGCCATCAACTCAGCCATTGCCTGGCCTCACAATACTCTTTTACACATGGAAAATCCAAGGAAGGCTGCTTTCTCCACACCTGATGAATAAGAGCTCACCTGGGAAACCATGTAAGTCTGAGACCACTGCTCCCTCAGTGCCCTCTTCTCTTCCTGCTGCTTCCCTAGCTTAGACAGCGTTCCTAAGGGGGAAATGACCAACTGCCCTCACTAGGTCTCATCTCAAAGCAGCAAACCCCACCTGGTGGTCCTTTCCAGCTGTGCCCTCTGCTTTTACATGGGTGGTTGTTTGTGACCTGCCTTAAGACCGCACAGTGGTGCAAGGCTGCATACAATTTCCAGTGTCTCACTCACTGTCCCATGGCCTGCACCTGACCCTCCGCAGACTCCCCTCTAGATCTAGTCTGCCCAGTGATGCCTTAGTTCTCTGCATGGCCAGCACCCCATCCACTCTCACCTGAGGATCTTGTGCAGTTTTCCTTTAAGAAAGAAGGCATCATTTATGCAGATCTCCCTCAGATTATCCAGCTTTTGTAAATGGGCAGCATATATACAGGAATACCACTTTTTTTGCCTCATGGAAATGTATGTTTCTGGATTCGTACATTTAAAGGAAAACTTCTCAAGGTTTCTCATCCTGCCCATGTAAGGAACAAATATTTTCACGGTGTCCTGATGAAAAAAACTGTCCACGTCCAACTCCTTGATGCTGTCCAGGCATACAACATGCAGAAACTTCTGTACTTTGTACATGGAATCAGATAAAATCTGCAGCCTCCTGCAACACAGTTCAACGACCTGTTTCCTCATCCTCACCCAGTGCAAGAGGTGGGCTTGAAAGCCATGAAGAGGTCCATTTTCATATGTGATGCAAAGATCCGTGAATATCCTCAAAGGCTTTGTTCCCAACTCAGAACCAGGGATGCCTGTTTGCACCTCACTGGGGAGCTCTGAGCAGGCGCGGGCTATGCGTCCACACCCCATCTTCCACACGTTCTCATCCCCCTTCTGCAGACTGAGCACGTGCAGTTTCCACTCTCTGTGGGAAAAACAAATGCAACTCAGGTTATACGAAGGACCCCAACTCCGAAGTGAGCTGGATTCCAGCTTCTGGATGCCAGCTGCTCCCCATTTTCTGCTCCTTGTGTATTCAATTATTTTTAAAAATTCTCTTGAGAAAAGATTTCTTTATGTAGTCCTGTTCAGTCATGAATTCCAGATTCTCTGGCCTCTACCTCCAGAGCCCTGTGATTACAGACCTGGGTCAGCACACCCTGCTTTCTGTGTGACTTTTTCTTACCCCCTTCCCCTTTGAAACCCAGTTTGGTCATCCTTCTGATGACTGTGGGAGGAGGCAGGGAAAGTCTCCTCAAACTCTGTCTTCATCTATCTTTTGAGGTTTCCCATGCTTGGATGCACTTTCCCTGATGGCTCAGCAACAAACCAGCGAACCAGGCCTTCTAGCCTCATCACCGGCACCATCCAAAGTCTTAGTTCTACCTTTTCTTCTCTAGATGATCTAGGCTCTCCCTTCCCTGGACTCCTGGGCCTGCCCTCTAGGCTCCCTGGGTCTCCCTTACCTGGGACGATCCTTCATGGCAAGCAGCATATCAAGCCCATCTAGGATGGCTTGCAAGGTTTCCAGATGGGGTGTCTTCATCAGTGACCCCAAGGGCAGTGTAAGGAATGGCCAGGCCTGTACCATTGACCTCAGCACATCCATGTGTCCCCCTTTGAATGCCTCCAGGAAAATTGGTAAGAAGAAATCCATGGGCAGGTCCTGCAGGGAGGAGTGTTCCAAGGCCTCATCCCTTACCAGGCTCCTACTTGCCAGCTCCAAGAGTGTGGGTGGGGCCTGCAAACTCATGCTGAGGACTTTGCAGAGAACTTTTCCTGAAGGGGCACATAGAAAGACAGCTTTTCAGTCAGGGTGAGAAATACCTTTTCAATTTTTACTCATCCAAGTACCCACTCATGCCCCAAATCACTGCTTTGGCAATGATGGAGGCCTCAGTTTACCTTGCTGCAGTGTGACCAAAAGTCAAAATTCTAGACTAAAAGCAGCAAAAGGATCAATCACCCACACAAAGTCAGGTCACCACTGTCTCATCTGATTCCTGCGACTGCTCCTCCAAATCCTACTGGATAGATTAACCAGGACCCATTTAATGGATACACACTGGTGTGCATTTAGGGGCACATATAGACCTGGAAAATATATTTGATACAGTAAATGAAATTGGGTGGAGGGCTGTAAGGGCTTTTTGAATATAGGAGAGTGCTTCAAAATATAATGTCTGAAATTCACAGAAATTCAATTTAAAAAAAAAAACCTTTTTTAAAAATATAAAATGAAGGGGCTAGAGATAGCTCAGAGGTTAAAAAGCACTGGCTCTTCTTGCAGAAGACCAGATTTCAAATCCCAGCACCCACATGGTAGCTAACAACAATCCATAACTCCTGTTCCAGGGGATCCCATGCCTTCTTCTGTCTTCCTCAAGAACTACATGGCACAAGTGCACTTACATACATGCAGAAAACACACTCATACATATAAAATAAAATTGAATTAATTAAAATTTGAAAAATAAGGCAATGGCTCGGCAGTCAAGAACAATGGCTGCTCTAGCAGAGGACTGGACTTAGTTCTAACCTCTAACATGGTGGTAACAGTAGACTGTAGCTGTGTTCCAGAGGATTCTGGAGGCAAGGCATGTACATGGCATGCACATGAACTTACACACATGCAGGCAAAACTCTGATTCACATAAAATAAAATATCCATTCTAAACCAAATCGTGGTTTGGCTGATCCTGCCTGTAATCCCAGCATATGTAGGACGCTCAGGCAAGAGGCATGGTCAAGGCCAGCCAAAGTCTGTGGGGGCCTCCAAGGCAGTGAGAGCTAGAGTGAGACTGTCTCAGAAAGCCAAAGAACTGAATAAAATAAAGCTGGGAACGGTACCACACATCTATAATCCTACCAACTCGGCAGCCTGAGGAAGGGGGCCTAATTATACCTGTTTATGCCTGTTTGGGTTGCACAAGGAGATCAAACATGGCCTGAGCAATTTACTAAGAATCTCTTTTCATACAAAAAAAAAGAGATAAGTATTGTTACATCTCAGTTGTATGTAACTGAGTAGAATGTGTTAGACCCTAAATTCAATCTCCAGAACTCAGGAAACAAACAAAAGCAAGAAAAAAAAAATTTTTTTTTGGTCTTTTTGAGATAGGGTCTTCCTGTCACGCCAGCTGGCCTGGAACTCACTCTGTAGACCAGGCTGGCCTTGAACTCACAGAGATCTGCCTGCCTTTGCCTCCTGAGTGCTGAACAGAAGGAAAACGTAATCAGCCATTGTTAAGGGCAACGTTTTCCCACAGAATCTAGAAAGTGCTGTGCTGCATACAGGTGGAACTGGCTCCCTGACAAAGGGTTGCCTTGCCTGTCAGAGACACTGGATTGAGTCCAAATGACCACAAAATAAATAAACAAGTAGAAAATAAAGCTGAGTAACTCATTGCCTCAATCCCACCACTCAGAGTGCTGAGGGAGGGAAATCCCATGGGTGAGACTGGGCTACAGAGAGCAAATGTGTCAAAAATCAAAGGAAAGAAACCAACCAACACATCCGGCCAAGCAAAGCACACATGCACACATCAATAATACAACTTCATTAAAAAAAAAACAACAAAAAAAAACAGTACACTGGGGTGCTATATATTGAACAGAAATGGCTGTTCAAGCTGACAATAACCTTGAATTTCTGATCTTCCTGCCTCTGCCTCCTGAGTGCTGGGATTATAGGTACGATTCCCAATAACTGTTGTTGCACTGTAAATTTAACCCAGGGATTCATACATACTAGCAAACATTAGGTCGAACTGAGCTATATCCCAAACGTACCAGATTTGTTTTTGTTTTTTCCTTAAACATTAGACATTCAACCCTCATCTATTTCTTCAGGCCCTTTGGCTACTGAACCAGACTCTCTGTGTAGCTGAGACTGGCCTCCACTCTCTGTCCTGCCTCAACTGATGCACGGATTGTAAATGTGCACCACTGTGAAGCCCCATCTCTGTTGTTAAGCTCTGACTAAAAAAGGCTTAAAGCCGGGTGTGGTGGTGCAGGCCTGAAATCCCACAACTTCCAAGGTGAAGGTGACCAGATCAGGAGTCCAACACCAACCTTAGACACCCCTCAAGTGTGAGGCTGCTCTGTGGTTCATGAGACCTTGTCTCTAAAAGCAAACCAAACAGTGTTAGGACTCAAAGCACAAGTGAAGGCTGAAGGATACATTTGGAGTCAAAGTAACAGTGTGGATCTGACTCTGAAGAGGGATCCTGGGCCCCACGTCACCACTGGGCCTGGTGAGGGTGGGTGGGAGTTTTAGTATGGAACCGAGTAACATACCAGATCCAGATGTGGCAGGCGGGGCCGCTGACTCCCAGGAGATCCAGGTAGTGACCAGGCTCCAGGCTCTCTCCTTTCTCCTCCTAAGCTTCTCCTTTCTCAGTCCTCTTTTATACCGCCAGCGTCCAATCAGAAAGCAGGGTCTGTTAAGATTCCTGAACCTCCGCCCACCTTTAATGGGTTTCAGCTTTACACCATTTGATGGAATTATGTAGGTCTTTAGAAGGGAAGATGCAGTGACAGTGTGAACCTCAAGGCCTCACTCAACCAGGGCCTGGGCTTGAGCTAGACTCAGGTGACTGCCAAGCAGTGATATGGGCGGAGGAAGATCTAAGATGCTATCAACATCAGAAGAGACAGCAACTGGATGTGTCCAGGTAAAATGACCTTAGGCACATCAAACAGGAACAACCAGGCTTGATGGAACACACCTTTAATCCCACCACTGGGCAGGCAGAGGCAGGCGGAAGTCTGGGAGATCAAGGCCAGCCTAATCTACACAGTGCATTCCAGATCAGCTGGGGCTGCAGGGAGATCCGGTCTCAAAAAGATAAAAAAATAAAATAAAGTTTGTAAATTAACCCAGAATCCACCTTTGCTTTGATACTTGAAAACTACTTTGAGAGCAAACAGACCACTGGGCTGCCTCTCAGGGAGCAGAGAAACAGCAGCCGATGGAAGTCAGGCATCTTTTACAGTCATTTAGGGGCTTGGATAACTTTCCATTACGTAGGCTGGGCAGTTTAGCTCAGGACTGGTTGGTCTCCTGATAAGCAGAAGGATTTTCCTGGGGCTAAGCTGGGCCAGAAATTTTAGAGTATTGAGATCTTCCCGCCAATTTAAGAGTCTGCCAGGAACCTAACACTGTTCCTTCATGTGAACCTTTCCTGTGTCACTTTTTTTTCTCCCTCACATGGAGCAGCATCTGAAACCTCATGTCCTTTGGGAAATCCCTGCTGCCACCCCAGTTGCTCCTGTGCCCACAGCCACGCTGAGGTCATCTTGGTTCCTGGTTATTTCCTTTCTTACTTGCCAAGTCCTGACATTATAATTTTGAGATCAATATAGAAGTGTGTAAGAATATTCATTCTGCGTGATAAGGTTCCTCACATGGTTCAATTCATGAACTAAGTTTCTTAGAACCTAGCTCACCCAGGGCCTGAGGCATGTTGACCTGGGCGTGCCTCATTCCACTGACATTTTTTCTGTTTTCCCCTGCGTTTGCTATTCTTGTAGACAACACAAGTATACTTCCCAGGACCCACACTTATTGACACAAGCTGTGTAGCCAGGATGGTGTGAGTTTATCAATATCCAGACTCATTCTCCAAAACAGTATGATACAGATGAACACACCTGTACCTGCTTCTAACGTTTCAAAAATAACAGCAATGGTGCTATTTTCTAGATTGGCCTCAGTGTTTCCCAGGAAACGTGTGTTGGTTGAAATCGTAATGTGGTTAGTTTGAGCATGTGATATTTCCTTACCTTTCACGAGGGAAGGTCACTTCTTTTCCTACAAAGGATGAGGTTCAGGGTTCAGTGGAATGGGATGGAGAGAAGCCGTAATTGGAATTGCATGGAACAGTGGGAACATGTGCTTACATGGGTGCTTGTGAGAGGCTTCTAGGCTGCCAGTGAGGTGAGTCATGGCTATGTGGAGACCACCAGAACTTGGAATGTGGTAAACTGAGGTCCCCACCATTTGCTGCAGTAACTCTGGTCATAATTTGGTTTCTGTGATGGAGGTGATGAAGGGCTTCCTAAAAATTTTAATAAAATATGTTCATTCTGAGTAATTCCCCAGGATCCTTCTGACTGAAGATCCATCAGGAGGAGCTACAAGGCCCCACACATATTCCTGAACCTGGCAATGCAGAGCCTTCTGAGGGATGAGGCCTCATCAATCCCTGCTGGGGACCTGCCCATGGAGTTCTTCCCTCCACCATTCATGGACACTTTCACTGGCAAACTTACAAATATTCTGAAGGCACTGGTGGTAGCCTGGCCCTTCCCCTGCCTCCCTGTGGGGGCCCTGATGAAGAGCCCCCACATGCAGACCTTGCAGGCTATGCTAGATGGACTAGATATGCTGGTTGCACAGAAGGTTGACCTCAGGTAAAATGAGTGACAGACAAGTGGGGCACAGGGAAGAGACACTTGGGTCAAAGAAAGTGAGGTCAAAGGTGGGTCAGAGGCTACTAGTGGCATCATCGAGGAGAACTGCAGAAGTCTCCCTGTTGAGCTCTAATAGGAAAGGACAGTGGGGTGTGGAAACCACTGGGAACAGAGCCACAGTGGACAATCCTCTCCCTTCTCTCTCACCAGATACTAGATGTGGGACCAGGCAGAATTCAAGAGCAACTGTATGGAGAGAAGCAAGACACAGAGTTAAAGATGCAGCTCAGGCAGCAGCAGGTCCTTGCCCAGCATGTACGATGCCCAGCATTTGATCCTCAGCTCAGCATGAAACATAAGCTTTTAACAAGACAGACAACAGCAAAGGCACAGCCGACATTAGCGATGAGGAACCAAAGAAGACTGTGTGCGGTCTTGATCTGTCTTCTGAGACCGCTGACTCTTTTACCCACAGGAGGTGCAAGCTGCAAGTGCTTGGGTTTGGAATGTGCACCGTAACTTCTGGAACATGTGGACTAGAAATGAGGATGGTGGCTGCTCCTCAGAGACCGTGAGAAAGAAACAAACAGTAGAGGACTTTCCCGGATCCATACTGAGGTGGCATTTGAAGGTGTTAGTGGACATTTCCCTAGGGTTCTATTTTGATAAATACCAAACCTATGTGGCTGCAGACACATAGGGGCAGACATGGGACCTCAGTGGATTATCACGGAACTGAAAAAAGGACCAGGGGACTCCTGAGGTTTCATTTCTTCACCCTATTTCTTCATTCATGCAAAGCACACGCAACTCTGTGTTTGTGCTCACACTCATTACAACTACTGCTGAATTTACAGAACAGAAAATAATAACAATGCAGCTAGAATAAAACAATTCAGCAAAATAAGATGAGCACAGCAACATCATCTTCACGCTGTGTCTATTTAGGAGGTCAGTGTGTTTCATGGGAAGCTAGAGGGGACCAGCAATCCAGAGCTATCACACTCGGCTCTCAGGCATACACGTTCAAGGTTCAGTTAAACTTACCAAGCATATATATTTTTTATTATTTTTTTATTTTATGTGCATGCGTGCATTGCCTGCATGTAGGTAAAGCACCCATGTCATGCAATTCCCGCGGAGGTCAGAAGAGGCTGTCGGATCCCCTGGGACTGGAGTTACAGGCAGTCGTTAGCTGCCATGTGGGTGCTGGGATTTGAACCCGGGTCTTCTGCAAGAACAACCAGTGTTCTTAACCGCTGAGCCATCTCTCCAGCCCAAATCAAGCATATTTTTTATAAGCCAAAGAAACACTATTTCACAGTCCCTTCGACATACTTCTTTTTTTTTGATTTTTTTGAGACCAGATCTCCGTGTAGCCCCAGCTGTCCTGGAACTCACTATGTAGACCAGGCTGGCCTTGAATCCACAGAGATCCACCTGCCTCTGCCTCCTGGGTGCTGGGATTCGGCTCGCCATACTTCTTACACTGGGCCCAGCAGAGAAAAAGTTGCCTACAGTTGTGCTGCATCAGGATGCGGATTTGATCATTGCCCATCTACACTGTCAGGAATGTCTTGAAACTTTACCAGCTAGAATCCACCGAAGAGTTGGGATTGAGTGCAGGCTGGCATCTGTCCACTCTGGCACACTTTGCAGTTAACCTGGGCCAGTTGAGAAATCTTCATAAATTCTCTTTCACACGGATCTACAAGAACACCTTCACAGGTGACGATACTTCCACAGTGGTGGAGGAGAAATGCATCACCACACTCATTTCACAGTTTTCCAAACTATTCCATCTCCATCATCTCTATACAAATGAAGGCTACTTTCTCAATGGCCATACCAAAGAGTTGTTCGGGTAAGGAGCTACAGAGCTGCCCTGAGACCTGAGCAACATGTTACTCTCTTGCTTTAAAGATTAGTGAGCACCAGATATCTGCCAGCCACTGTGGAGTTAAGAGTGAGAGAGACACCAGGTGTGGTGGCACACACCTTTAATCCCAGCACGCGGGAGGCAGAGGCAGGCGGATCTCTGTGAGTTCCGAGGCCAGCCTGGTCTCCACAGTGAATCCAGGACAGCTGGGGCTACAAGGAGACCCTGTCTAAAAAAAGACCAAAAAAAAAAAAAAAAAGATTGAGAGAGACATTGGAATAGCTAATTATGATCCTATTTCTATTCTCCCATAATCGAGGTCTCACACAACCACTCATGAAACAGAACTCTGAACCCAGAGAGAAGATTGCACATAGTGACCATGCTAGAAGGCCACCGAGTGAGCCAGATCTAGGGAGGATGTATTCTGATTTCCTCGTGTCTAGCAAGGAGGAGGGGAAGAGGAATAGAAACAGGGCACTTGAAAAGGTGTGAGTGCCTCAGATGAGTTCTGCACCCAGGAGCAATGTGAGCAAGATGCCCTTAACTCCTGACGGCTGGAACTAAATGTGTGAGCCACCATGCCTGACTACTAGGTGACTTTTTAATGGCAGATTCTCATGTCTCACGCTTTCACATGAATTTTAATATATTCTGGGATTATATGAAATGTTTATTCTCTGACTTCCATTTTCCCACTACTGAGATGATAGTCACCTGTCACCACGTCTGGTTTATGGAGTGCGGGGTGGAACACTGAGCTTTGTGCACGTTAGGCAAGAATTCTACCAAGTGAACATCATTCCCCGCAAGTAACTTCTTGAAAGATAGAGTTCAATGATCATTTCCAGGAAATGACACTCCTGGGCTGGAGTGATGGCTCAGTGATTGAAGGCACTTGCTACCAAGACTGGCGACCCGCATTCTATCCATGGGACCCATGTGACAGGAGAGAACTCACACCCGGGGTTGGTCCTCTGACTTCCATGTGGGAAAGGCTGAGTGATCACAGACACATTTAAATTAAAAGTAGGAAGACATGTGTGGCTTTTCTAAACAGTATTACATTTGCTCCCAAACAGAAACAGACTGAACCTCTGGACTCTGTAAGGCCAAGAGTGAACCCAGACACTGAGAAACTGTTCCCCCGGGATCTCGGGCAACTGTGGTCCTAACCAGCCATCACTCATCCTTTTATTGAAACAGTATCACTGGTATGCAGTGGGGTGTAGGATGAAGGACCCAGGTTTGACTTATGAGATAATCTTGACGTTTGATCCCTAGACCTGGAATACCACACACACACACACACACACACACACACACACACACACACGTTACAGACTGCTCAATTTTCCTGAGTGTTTTCAATGAGAAAAGCATACGGCTTTTAGAGCTTTGACACGTCAATCGTGCAGGACATCAAAGGAACCCCAGGTTTTGTCACATGCTCACACAGTTCTTCCCCAAATGAGAGGAGCAATCCCCACAGAGATGAGGGATGGCCAGCTTGTGCATCTCTCCCTAGCTCTGCTCCTGCCTCACCAAGGATCTGGTGATCTTCTGATTCCACTGGAGTTGGACTTGGAAGATGAAAAAGTCCCTGGGAAGCCCACTCTGCATCAGGATAAAACGGGTCACTGAAAGATATCAGAGCCTCTCTGGGTTTAGATCAGGGAAGTAGAAAAATGAAATGGGATTCTCATGTTAATACTATAAAAAACACTAAGAAGCACTGCACAGCAATCAATGACAGTTCCCCCCAGGCGAGGTGACTGACACATGGGCGGAGGAGTTCCTGATGTGGATACCACAGACATGTCCAATAAATATCCAGTCAGGAAGACCTGGGATCAGAGGGAGCTATAGCTCTCTTACAATGCATCCTCTGAATCCAGACACTCAGCCTTGTAGAGTCTGGGCCACCTCACACCTCCTATTTTGGGCCTCAAGGTCCATCTGATTCTCTAAGGTAGGATTACTCTCAGTGGGTCCATTTCTCTTTCCACAGAGTCCGTGTCAGGTCTTTCCATCCAAGCCACAGCAACCAAACAGCAACACCACAGCTACCAAACAGGACTGAATGGTCCTGCCTGCCTCTCAGATGATGCAGCAAACTGCATTTGTGGATCTTCTGTAGCCCACAGAGAGGACAACACTGTCTCCAAACA